TTCTTATTTACAACTACAAACATAACAAATAAAACAGCATTCATTTATAAGAAGAATCAAAATACATTCAAATGAAGTAAATGGAATTTATATGTACAAACACAAACGAAACCTAAAAGAAAGAGAATAACCTAGCAAAAATTTGAAAAGGAGAAGTAATTATTTTTCGCTTTTTCATCACTGTGAGACGAACTCGTTCCTTTATATCTAATATTTTTGCAGTGGCATTTCCAATGAATAAAATTATTAATTTTGGTAGTATCATTCGAGACATCCTAGTTCTCAAGTAGTTTCCATTAATTTCAGAACTGATAACTATCTATCTGAGATGACGGAGCTCCCTGAAATTACTTTTGAATGACAAATTCAAAACAACTTACGATGTGAATCACGGTAGCTTATAAGTAAACTGCTCATTTTATAACCGGCATGTAGTCATTAGGCAAACGACAGACTATTCCTAACAGGTTATTCTACTTTATTTAATGAAGAAATTTATAAGGGACTTCAATCCTAATACAATCCTAATCATTTCATAACAATATTAGAAGTATATCTAAAATTTCGATCATTTACAAGTGCTTTCACATGAAATCAAGAGATATGACTGTATAGTGTTAACAGAGACGTTCTTTAATGCAGATTTGAATTTATTTTATTTGGAAGGGTTTGATTGCATGCACAATGGCGGAATTTCAATAGTAATGATGGAGTTGTAGTTTATATCAACAAGAAATTCAGGCTTGATTATGTGGAAATTACAATAGGAGAGCTACAGCCATTAAAAATAAACGTTAACGTAGGTTACAATTTCAAATTACAAATTACGGCGCTATATAAACCGTATAACTTTCTGACAGATGAATTCAATAAAAATTTTCATGAGTACTTGAAAACAAATTGCAGGAATAATTATAAACATATGATAAATAACTGCTGAATTCCACATAAATAGACTAGAAGAGAATGAAGAAAACATGAATTACCTCAACCTTCTAACAGAGGAGAATTTCATCAGTGTTATTAATAATCGTTATATTAATAAGTATTGGAACCTACTAGAATTCAAAAAAACAGCTCGTCATATATAGACCACATTGTGATGAAGGACATGGAAGAATATACTCCGATAATCATTGAGTCGCACGTGACTGATCACTTCTCAGTTGTTATTTTTGTAAACCGTGTTAAGAGTACCACACAATCAGAAAGAAAATGTTAACATCAACTATGTGAAACTCAAAGAGCCATTTAGCGAAGGAGGATTAGACCGAATTTCATGAAATGAAAGAGCCTGATGAGTTAAAAGATGCATTGGTTAACAAAATGAAAATAATATTAAATTATATGAATATAAAGTCAAATATAAAAAAAAAAAAGAAAACCATGAATAACAAAAAGCCTATTGAGATTGATCAATACTAAAAACGAACTTTGCAAAGCATGATAACGAGACAAAAATCACAGTAACTGGTTAAGAATTAAAAACTTCAGAAATAATACACATCTCTTGATAAAACATGGTTAAAGTGATTAATTAATGCAACTTATATTATCTTAGTGGCGAAAATCCGCTCAATTGTGGAAAAAAATCATTTGATGTCTGTGGCATTCAGACAAAATCGCCAAAAATCTAAAAATAGAAATAGATATTGATAAAAACACTCTAGTTGACCACAAGAAAATAGCCCAGCTCCCAATAATCAATTTGTCAGAGTCTGTAGGGAGTTAATTGAAAAATTTAATATAACCAGACCTCAACTTGAAAACAAATAACTCAGAATATGAAGGACTTTTTTCTCACACCTACAACTACGAAGAAGTAGCCACCATAATTTTGAATCTCGAAGATAAAAATAGTAGAAGAATTGAAGGTATATCTTCAGAGGCTCTGAAACTTGGAGTTCATTCATTAACTAACTCCGCCAGTTGAGCACGTAAAGAACATGATTTTCGAGACGGAAAAATTTCCATCGTCTCTGAAAACAGCGGTCATTGTGCCCTTACATAAAGGTGGTAGCAGAAGACCATGTGCAGACTAGAGACCTGTGTCGATACTTCCTATTCTATCGAATATTGTTGAAAAAGTTATACAGATTAGATAACAATGTGTTATGAAAGTTAATAAGATTATTTCCGACATGCAATTTGGCGCTCAAATAAATAAGTCCACTGTAGACGCAGTTATTGAATTAACGACGCATATTGATAAATATTTCAACAATAGCGACGTTGCCTTTTGTATATTAATAGACCTATATTTCACATACATATTAAGACACTATTGAACATACAACACTTTTGAGCATTCTAGAGTGGATTGGAATCAATGGTGTCTATCGGAGAATATTTGAAAGCTAGTTATCACATGATAACCAAACAGTGAAGGTGGACAAAACGTCCAGTAATATGAAGATGGTAGAATATGGGGTAACTCAGCGAACAATATGAGGTCCAATTATATTTACAATCTATATGAATTTTTGTTGTCGGAGAGAGAAGGTAAAATAATCAGTTTTGCTGAGGACACTGCGATAGTTTACTCAGGAGAAAACTGGAGTGATATCAAAGCCAAATCTGAATATGATTTTGTGAATATATATAATTGGTTAAAGCATCACTTCTCAACTATCAATATAGATTAAACGATATACATTCCGTTTTCTGTAAATAATGGCTAGTACCACCCAGATGACGACTGATAATTAAAATATGAGAAAATACATTTCGCATTCCTTCCACATACGAATGTAAATACTTAGTAATCATGCTGGATTCTCACCTCAAATGGAACTTCCCCGTCAGAAGCTTAATTGTTAAGCTTAGAGGATGAATATTCAAATTTGAATTACTCTCAATTATTCCAGACGTAAAACATCTAAAAATAATTTACAAAAGTTTCGCACAGTCTCTGATAGGATATCGTATTGTTGCGGGGTGGTGCTTATGAAACAGTAATAATAAAGCTCGAAATTCAACGAAAATGGCTGCTAAAATCCTTCATAAAAAGATATCATATATCCTACTGACTTTCTGTATAAAGAAGCTGATATAATGGATATTTTATTTGCCCGTTGTTTGTAAATCGCTGCTAAACTCCACTAAAAAAAAGGTAGACAGTTGCTAGTTTATTGAACATAGCGTGAGTACCAGAAATAACAGAAACTCTTTATCAATTCTGAAATACAGTAAATCTATATGTCTTCGTAGCTACTCTTATTTGGCACAAAGAATTTATAAGGAATTGCTATTTGAATTCAGAACTATGATCAAAATAAAAAAATTCAAATCTGCCATAAAGGACTTTATGTAAACAAAGGAAATATATATCATAAATCAACTGGTGCACATTTGAGAGCTAAAACGCTTGTAAAACAAAATGTAATATTCTTACACATTTTTATGATATTGTTATTCGCTTCTCCACACTTTTGTTATCAACTTTTCATATTGGTAGATTTTTTCTGTGATTATTGAAATAGATACCTTGATATGTGTGCATGTATATATTTAAATATGGCAGAAAATGAATGGACATTCTTCGTACTCCCCACAGGCTACGGTTTTTGTGAGACAATGTATTATCTTTGTTTGGGCAAAAAAATTTACGTTGGGAATTTTTAAATTAGAATAATATTGTTTCATTTACATAATTGCATTACGAGTACCTTAAATAAAGATTATTATTAATTAAGAATATATTTAATTGATTACGTATCACAGAAAATGTGTGACCTAGTTCTAACATTTTTGTGCTGAACACAAACAAAAACCCCGTGCATTAACTACTAAGTACTAATAATTTGAAATGATTCTCTTTCATATAAAAATATTGAATAATGTCAGTAACTTCCCACTAACGCTTATCACTTGAAAATTGAAATAGAAAATGCTTGTTTTTTTTTATTTTCAACTTTACGGGAGAGCATTACGCCCAATCTGGCTGACTGTTATTGTCATGAGCCACCACCCAATGATGTATAACCAAAATTACTAAATATCTAATAAAATTCTATAATAACAATAAATAGTTCGAATCTTTGAATAAAAACAATAACGAAAAAAATTGTGAATGAAACTTATAACACATAAGAAATTACGAAATTACAGGTTAAATTAAAATTGAAATGAGCAACGGAGAGAAAGGTTAAAACACTTGGGAAATGCAACGTTGCCTATTTTAAACTTTGAGACCTAGGCGATTGAATATATTCGAAAACCATCTCGTATACCTCCAAATTATTTAGAGATAATATGAAATTCAGACTGTAGGGTTGATAGAATTAGATGATTTTATTGATATTTGAAATCAATTCGATGCAATGGTGTCTGAAATTACTAAACGCCAATAAAAGATGATCAATTGTTCCCAGTTCACCAAATTCGCACTCTGGAGAATCCCTTAACCCAATCTTTTACATATATTGTGGATATATTGCATGACCGCTTCGGAGACGAAATAAAATACGAACAAACTCTCTGCAATTACCGATGCTATTATACCAGGTAATGGCCGAGGGTACAGGATTAATGTACATGTAAAATGCCCCTTGATTCTTCTTGAAATTTTTGACGCTATTTTTCCCAACTTGATGAATTTAGAACTATCGAGATGTCAGAATGTAGACTTTTTTATCCTCAGCTTCATTTTTAGAGGCTGCTTTTGAAGTTTTGTCTACTATTTCGTTCAGAGGAATACCCACGTGAGCCTTAACTCATAAAAACTTGACATTCATATCTTGTTGTCCTAATTTTAATACGGAGATGAATATATCCATATGAATGTACGAAAAACTTGAGTCGAATTACACATTTTTCAATAATATAAGAGCGCTATGACTGTCTGAAATATATATATATATATATATATATATATATATATATATATATTATGAACTTCTGGAGGGATCATAGATTTCCGCTCCAATTGAAGATAGCGGTGATTTGTAAGCATCTGTAAATATTTGATGGTGAGCAGCTAAAGTACTTAGCTAAGGCCGGTCTTCGTAGCTTAGTCGGCAGAACCACCGACTATGGTACGGTAGAACTCGGGTTCGAGCTCAGCTGAAGGCATTGGTGTTGGTGTTTGTCTATGATTTAAGTATTTTAAATGATGAAATATGCTGGGCAATGTACACCGATTACAAGCGCAATGTCTGTTCAGAACGGACGTTGAACTGTAGGTCCTCTGAATTAGAAAAAATATCCAAAACTGTTTTCATCAGGATTATATAAAAAACATCTTAGTATAGGGTTTTTTTTTTCAAAGGTATAGAACTTCGAATTGCAATAAAACAACGATGGATCACTCGACTGACAATCACTCCACTGAAGAATTTTTTTTTAATCGAAAGATAATCTTGTGGCATTACTATTTGAATATGATTTCTGGCATATGACCGCCACGGCTGGCTCGCATGCACTTCAATCTGGACATCCGATTTTTGATGAATATTTCCAACCTTTGTGGCCGTATATCGGCAATAACACGGCGAATATAGTCTTCCAGATGATCGAGCGTTTGTGGCTTATACGTATAGACCAATGACTTCACATAGCCCCACAGAAAGTAGCCTAGCGGTGTTAAATCACAGGATCTTGGAGGCCCATTCACAGATCGAAAACGTGAAATTAGGCGGTCATCAAACGTGTCTTTCAATAAATCGATTGTGGCACGAGCTGTGTGACATGTTGCGCCGTCTTGTTGAAACCACAGAAACCACGGATATCATGATTGTTCAATTCAGGAATGAAAAAGTTCATTCAAAATCATGGCTCTATACCGATCACCATTGACTGTAACGTTCTGGCCATCATCGTTTTTGAAGAAGTACGGACCAATGATTCCACCAGCTCATAAAGTGCACCAAACAGTCAGTTTTTGTGGATGTAACGGTGTTTTGGCATACACTTGAAGATTATCTTCACTCCAAATTCGGCAGTTTTGTTCATTGACGTAGGAATTCAACCAGAAGTTTGTCGACGAAAAATGGACGTTAATGGAAAAGTGCGCGATACGTATTCCGCAGAGAACCATTATTTTCGAAATCAAATTGCACTATTTGCAAGCGCTGTTCAAGCGTGAGTCTATTCTTGATGAATTTCCAAACGAAACTGAGAATAAATCACTTCTCAGCTGTTGAATGGGTCGCCATCTTCAACAGTAATGCTAACTTGAAGTTCTATACCAGTAAAAAAACACCCGTTATATGTTCCACGAATTGATGCATAATATATTCACGTCATATTTTCATTTCTTAATGTTTTTCAACATTTATGATAACGCATTTTCAACATTTTCAGTTGATTCTAATCAATTTATTCACAATTCAAATACCCATTTCAGCAATTCAGCAGTAAATATGATTAATCTCATCGCATATATTCCAATTGAATATCACTTCATTGTTTCAATTTATCAACAATATTTACGTTAAATACATTGCGTTCAAGGAAGAGAATTAATTCCGTTTTACAAAAAACACAATTACATTATGGCCAATCCTCGTATTCTCATTACGATGCATTCGCCCATTTGTTCCTATATAAAAGCACTGTATTCATAAATCAACCTACGTGTCCTGCACCCAGGGTTAAAGTGTGAATTTCAGCTTTAGTCGTTTTCTGCCGCGGCATACGCGATGTTGTCTTATTCTTTTCTCTGGGCGATTCGCATTCAAGGTAAGCCATGTCCCAAGCTGAGAGCCGATTTCAGCAAAGAGATCTGTAAATATTTTTCGTCTGTGAGAGAAGATTCCATTAAGATATATGATCACAATGGTACTAAAATTTCGAAATATCATTTATCTCTCATGATCTGCTCACATCTTGGAACTATGTATTCTCATGTTCAGAAACGAAATATAGGAGAAATTCACTAGAAGAAAAAGTAATTCTGTATTTCTCGTGCTATATTATCGCACACGTGAATATTCGCTATCAAAGTGTAACTTTCCTTCGATAATTCTTTTGACAAATTATTCAAAAGAACATTATAGCAGAGCAAGCTATGTGAAATATAAACAATGCGATGTCTTCATTGACCTTCTGGGGATCAATGTTAGAGAATCTTCTAATCGATGCCTACATTTATTGAAAGCGTGAGACAGTCACTGTTTCGTACTACAAGGTACCCATCAGTTACGCAACAAACAAAGGCAACGATTTGAATCCTCACATTCCCCCTCATTGATTGTGAGAAAGAAATATAGAGTAACGCGTATGCATATATAATGCATAGACTAATGTACATCTCAGATCTTAGAATCAATGAAAAGCACATGAATACATCTACATTGACAGTTCCTCATCAATTAAGCTACAACATTTTACAAGTCCAGTTTTGGAACCATTTCATCTAATTTGATGAAGTAATGCGCCATCTAGGTTGCGGTTGTCATTACTCAAAACAAGAAAAAAAAATTCTGGAGTTCTCGTGCTATATTATCGCCCTTGTCGATATTCGCAATCAAAGTGTACTATTACTTTCTCTCGATAATTTATTTGACAAATTATTGACAAAACAAATAAAGCAGAGCTCTAGCTATATGAAACATGAACAATGCGATTTCTCCATTGTCAACTGCAGTCATATGGAATCTGCGATATTTCAACACTTTTCAACAATTTTGAGGAACTAAATTTCAAGAGTTTGAAGTTGTGTATTCATTGTCCATTATTGTATATTTTCCATATACATAGCTTCATCAGGTAATATCCTATCTCCGATAGAACAACATGAATTAAAATCTTCTACTTCAAAATATTTCGGAACTATAATCTAACCTAACCTGATTTAATCTAAGAAATATATATCTGAATATCATAAACTATATTATTAATGCAAATTATCAAGACATTTGTTCGATGAAAACATCGTTCGATGATATTTGTCAAATAGACATTGCAATTTAGTAGATACCTACAGGTATAGAAGATATGTGAAATTTCGATGCTTGGTGTGTCTATAATCTGAGAGGTGTTTTCTACTGATTTCCATAGATGGAATTGTGGAGTATTCATAACTCTACGGTCTTCCACTGGGAGTCACAAGAGGATGCTTGGGGGTTGAAATCGTTGCCTCACTTCGATGGACGTGGTGCGACTGACGAGTTCCTTGCAGAACGAAACATATATGTCTCGCACTTCCATCAGGTGTGGCATCGATTTCAATATTTCTCTAACATTTATCCCTTGAAGGATAATGGAGACATCACATCGTACACGTTCACATATCTAGCTCTACTATAACATTCTCTTGATTGATTTGAATTTTTCGAATGAATGTTTTAGTAATCATTTTTATATATATATATATATATATATATATATATATATATATATATATATATATATATATATATATATATATATATATATATATATATATATATATATATATATATATATATATATATATAGTATATATATATATATATATATATATATATATATGCATATATATATATATATATATATATATATATATATATATACAATATATATATATATATATATATATATATATATATATATATATATATATATATATATATATATATATATATATATATATATATATATATATATATATATATATATATATATACTAGGTAACTTCAAAAAAAATCCAACAAGCTAGAACGAATCTATGTTGTTGATTACTGTGCAACGAATATGCAACCCATTTTTATAGCACAAAACTATTATCAATATGACTGGCAAGCCTAATGCGTGGCCGTTCTGAAGGCTGTCGATGATTTCCAAATTTGATGGTATTGAATTTTTTTCTAAAAATTCCAAAAATTTTGAGATTCCATGCAAACTGAGAATTGAGGTGAATGAGTTATCCTCCATTTCCAGATTGTCTGCTATCGAAATATTTTATATGTTCATGGCAATAGTTAATAATATAATATAGTTAATAATAATGAACTAAAACTTTTGTTCAAAAATTTGAGTGATAGGTGTTATGCTATTCTGGAATTCAGTATTGAAATTATGTTGATAAACTTATGCAACTTACTGCGTCCACTTCTCTATTTCTTTGGTTCAAAGATAATGTAATGAAACTTCAGTAAGTTTTTGGAGTATAACAACGAGGATTTTTCATGTAGAAGATCTTTCACGAGGAAAAATAATAAATAGTTGTATGTTTCCACTTTTCCAAAGAATTCTACATTTTAGCTTTTATAATAAAAAAACGAACTCATCAATGTCACAATTATATCTATCTTACACATTTTATTCATTTTTATCTTCACATTACGTCTCTGTATCAACCAATAAGTAAAAACTGATAAAAAGTTACGAAACTCATAAGCTTGTACAAATTAGCCCATTTAGTGTGTTTTATCGCAAAATCGCTGACGCAAAATAAAACTATTTATCCAATAAATATTTGCGAGTTGTTCTTCAGTCGTTAAGGAAGAACTTTATGTCCTCACTCGGGGCAATCTGGCTCTAACAACGTCGGTAATTGATAGCAAAAAGTGACTGCTGCTAACAAGCGACATACGACACTTCGCTCGTTCTGAAGTCAGAGAGGGTCCTTTGGGACCATCCCCAGAGTTGAATATTGTTTGATAATACAATAGTTATTCCGTGTCTCGTTTCGTGCAAATGAGAGTTACTTAACGTTCATTCGTTGGTTTTGCATAATCGCTACACAATCTTGAATAATTGCTGCTCTGTACATAGGACTGTTCCATTTAGTAGTTCCCTGCGGAATAAATCGGATCTTCGCTCTAAGCAGGATATCTGGAGTTGGTTTTCAGGTTAGGTGATATTTATTATGCTCCGACGAACAAATGTTTACACACGTAATTTTAGTAGGTACAAAACTTTATGATTTAAGTTACTTCATCTGATCCTTTATGTTAATATTATAACTGAAATTATTTTATTGATAACCAAAACTTCTCTCGCACCAACTACACAGGGGAAAATGGGAGAGGTAATATTGGCAGCAGAGAAAATCTATACAGATGATACATCTAATGTTCAGAACCTTTCTGGGTTCTCTTCGCTTTACACTATGTTAAATAATATTCATTTCCTTTATTCCGTACATT